AGTTGATTACGAAAAATGACTTGAATTCGATGCACGTAGAAACAGCATAAAATAATAATATTTGCATATATCAATGCAAATGTTAGTCTATATACTCGCGACGCAAAAAGTCTATCAAAGAGGTGCAAGTAACCACAACCATCTATTTTATTAAATAATTTTTTAGTTGTGCAGGACACTGCTTTGTTTGATGTATGCTTTGATATTATGTAAATTGAACTCAAATCTTTGATTAAAAGCTTTTTGAATTTTCATAAGTAAGTTATGATTTCTGTAAGAAAACTTTCTTTCAGAAATATAAAGAAAACTTATTGGTTCTTATTTTTTTCCTCGATAAAAAAGAAGTGTTTTTAAGAATGCATTATATATTCAAATATTTAGATAACACACAAATTACTAGCATTATTATTTAAAGTGATTGATTCATCAATGACGTGGTCACTATACTAAATGTCTAGGTTCATCAGGAACGGAAATCGCTAATGCTAATGACTACTAAACACGCCAAGGTCAAGTGACTGATCAATTACATTTGGATAAAACCAATTAAAGTCTCATAATACAATACAAATATAAATTAAGATGCTCCTTATATTAGTGCATCATTTGAGAACGGATAATTGTATCTGAAGAATCTTTCACAAGCAAATGTCTCCTCTACAGAGGAATCATACAGGGGAATAGTTTATATCCAGCACGTGCCTATTCGCCTCTTTTTGTTGACTTTTAAAACTAAAACATTCAATAATTTTCAGCGACTGTGTTACATTATTGTCAGAATTTCATGTGACGTCACAGAAAATCCAACAAACTTTTTCTTTGTGATCTATTTCTATCTTACGGAATTAATTGCTGAAAAATGTTTCTTTAATACAAAACTATAACGTTTAATACAATAAACTTAAGGCGATAATACGATAACAATGGTATTTTTATTGCATATTTGATAGACTTCAGTGATACTATATGAGGCGTGACTGTATTCAATGCTTCGATGACAAGAACTTGTGGTTGGTCGATGAATACCGCATATTGGATCTAAATGTGACTCATTATAAAATGAACTCAATCTGCTTATGAAATAGAGACTAGGCTGTGTGCTATTTGAGGTTCTTATAGTTACTGAACTAATTAAAGTATTAAATAACAGTTGAATTAAGAATATCCTCCTTTATTTCAAATAAATGACAAAGATGGTATACATAAACTATTGATTTTCAAATGACGACCAAATAGTTATGTATTAGAATATGTAATTGACATATCTTTTGCAGACCGTGGCAAGGTTACCCTGCTCAACTAAATAAATTCCGCAGCTGAATCTGGGAGCTCTGCTAACTCTAATATAATTATGGTAACTGAATGCTGTTTCCCTAATGTTATTTTAGTTCTTTTTGATAAAGTTCTTGTTTCTAGATTTTAAAATATAAAGAACGATGAAATATAACCATTGATATAGAAGACGCGACTCGAGTTAGACTCGAGTAGATTATGTTTAATTTAAACGAATATTAGGTACGTTGAAATAAGCAAAACTGAGGGTCAGTTTTGTTTACTTAAATATTGGTTTAAAGGACCGAAATTATACGAAAAAAATCTAGTCGAAGGAGCAATGATCGATAGTGATCGTGTGGAGGGAAAGTAATGTCCGTCGGATGACCACTGTGAAGATAATTAAATAAAAATAGCAAAATTCAATAAGACACGTTCAGTCACCACTTTGAGGCACCGGAATAAGAGTGGGTAGATAGTATGTGTTAAATATATTATATTAACTGAAGATAAGAATTTCTCTTTAGATGGGATTTGAGATGTTACTTGGTCCAAACATGGACCAAAAATATTTATTGATAGATCGATGTCAAATTCACGCATGCTTATTAGCAGATTGTTTTCCCATTTATTACCATTTGTCAATAAAAAAAAAGGTTATTATTGTAGTGTTTTATTAAGAGTTCGTTGCCGTTCGTTTAGCTTTTTAACTATTATCACTGACATGATTCGTGGCGTATCATCTGCACAGCGCGTGATAGTCCGAGTGCGCAAGCGACGATCTTTCAATTACCATTCTCAATTCTGGAGCAGGCAAGGCCGGAGTTGTTCCACGTTGATTTAGGGTTGCCTGGTTTAAAATATCCAAACTTATCTAAAAGTACTCGACCTGGCCTACGGTTGCACCAATTTCACTAACCTAGAACAAGGCGTAGCTTAACTAGGAAAGGCATAATATTACGAATTGCCTAAGCAGATTAGATTAATTCCAAATAAATATTCTTTCTTTTATCCCTTGACATATTACGCCTAGTGCGAGGTGCTGCATAACAAATATAACTCTGGACATTGCTTAATTTGCGTTATGAAGTTCCTAATCAATGGTGAAATGCATTTTACCTTAGGCGATTCCTAAATATTTAGCCGACAGATTTGGTGATTCCCAAGTTTTGTGAATCATGGGTATCAGTCCCATAAAATAATGCTTGCAAACACAGCAATACTTCAAGTTACTTATCCTAAAATATTTTTATGCAGTTATAAGATTTATAATTTTATGTATCCATACCATTTATCCAGAAAACTTTTAGGCTGACATGTAGCAACGGCTTTTCATAACTTATTAGGAAAATTAATTGTGCATTAGATGCACCTTTCTTGTTAAATAATTTGAATATGAGAAAAAAATGTAATCAAAGCTCAATTTTAAACTAAGGACCTACTTAAGAATTTACTCACGTACACTGAGTATCCGTTTTCTTTTGTTGTAATAGCTTATAATATTCTTTAACCTATCACAAAAACTGCGCAAAATCCATCATTATTAATTAGGAACTTATTTATTATCTTAGAAATAGTTTTAGATAGATATTTAGTAGATGTAAGATGGTGATTACTTTTTCCTTTATTTCATTAACTATAAACCATAAGTATGAGATATTAGACAGTTATTACAGACGACAGATAATGAATTACATTTTGATGTAAATTGTTTTAATTATTTTTTAAGAATACTCTACAATGAAGACGCAAATGCATCAAATGTCAATTCAATTATCAGGAATCTTGAATTATCAAGCACAAAATATATATATTTATTGCATCGAAAACGGATATTTATAAAGTATGGAAGTGTTATGCAATTGAATATAAAAATTAGACATTATAATAATCCATATGAACACTATTTTCTTCGTGAAGAAAGGCATTATGGCAGAATTAAGGCAGAATGTCATAATGCACTTGCATCAACTAAATTAACCCTAATTTCATTTAAAATAGTGGTAGGAACGACGGCACAATACTGTTAAAAGTTATCATGGTTTCATTTATTTTTCCTGTCAATAGATGTCTCAGAATCAGCTTTCTTGTCACAATTATTGTAAGTATGTTTCACAAACAACAAAAGAATCTGTTACCATTGATTCATCAAGACGCCATTATGCTATAATGTGTGGCTTCAGGTAGATAATGCGGTGGTAGAATGCGACTTATTTTAATGCCATTTGAAGTAATCAAAGCTTAGTTTAGTTTTTTGACCAACATTATAGGTTTTAGAAAATTTTCAATGTGCATTAACTCAAATCTGTCTTGATTGAATATGGATTGAATATGTTTTCAACAGTCGATATTTACTTCGATATTTCGATTCTCAAAAATCGCTGCCAGTTCCGTAGCATGAAAACTGGACGGTTAACAACCCTAACTTGATTGCTCACTTATATCAGATTAGGAAAACAATACTGAATTCCGAGCTAATTTGACTTCTGTTGCGTTTGGTTTCATTTACTTATTATATTATTATCTGTCGAGGCTATCGGTAATAAACACATTTAAGAATGCAGACAATAAAGAAATAATTTCATTATTCTTGTTATCTTTAAACAGTAATATCATGTAAAAAATGTTTTAACGTAACATGTACTTCTATGTAACATGTATTATATTTCGTAATAAAAGTACTATAAACTATTTAATTTGGGGTCAGAGGCAATGTATGTGAGGTTCTCTAAAATTTATTTTCGTTCTTAGTTTAATTGTTTCTTCGACTACTGAAAACTTTTGTTAATTGCTTAGAGAATTGAGGACAAAGTTTTTTATACCGGTAAATTGTTGGAATATTAAATACAGTTAATATTAAAAGAAACCTAATACGTAAAATGATTAAAAAATACATAAAGAATCGAATAGGCAAATATTATTATTGTCGTTATAAAGTGAGAGTACTATTGATAACATTACTGATGGTCAAAATTGTAAATATGACAAATGATCAACATCATAAATGTTATGATAAAGCTTATGCACTTGCACTCAAAGAAATAAAAAAGCAGTGACTTGTGGGTAGTACATAACACTATGACGCCAGATCATAAAGTGAACGACACTCGAAATCTCAATTTCACCAGTACATGAGCTGTGTTATGTTAACAGCTAGAGTGACAATTTAGATTAAGTATGCACTATAGTTACGTAGACGAATTGTCTGCCAGTATTTGAATTAACAGGCATACAAGCATTGAGTATCGTTGTCTTATTATAATTAAAATTATATCAAATTATATTTGAACATATTAAAATCCCTCAACTGATTTAAAAAGTTTACATTTTGAGATCTATGTCTTAAAACATTCGTTGAAAGACCTTTTTTGATAAATCATTGTGCTGCTTTGTTTGATATATCATTCACATTCCCTCTTTCTTCCTCTGTGTGTTAATAAATTCTTTTTTTTAATTATTTTTTGTATATCGTCTTTTTATTAAAGCGCTCTGGAGCAATTTTGTGTTTAAATTAACTTATTTTCGTACGTTTACTTACATTCGTTGCATCATTATAAGTTACAATAAATAGTACGCTATATTTTGTTATTAAAAATATTTATTAAAACTCATTAGTTTACTCCTTTCCTAGCGTGAGTTATAGTTCTGAAATTTTTCAGGCAAGCTGTTGTATGTTTTTCTTTTTATATTAAGTTCAAATGTTATTGTTTTTCTTATATTTGTTTCAGAGGTGACACAGTTAGAAGATCCGAGGTTAGAATGGCTCAGCATACAAGAAGCTATGCTGAGAGATTACCTCCACACAGCACAAGAGGCATTGGAGGTAAGCATTATATAATTACAGCATTAAATTTTACTGATAATAGTAAAAATGCTCAGGGTATTTTAATCACACGCTCTGCGATAAAGTAAATGGACGATACAGATATAGTCAAAGGTAACATTATCTTTGCCTGATTTATTATATAACAAGAGAAATGCTTATCAATGAAATATGTGAATAATACAGTTTTAATTATTGACAAATACTCCTGGGGAATTCAAACAAACATTATTAACTATTTAAGACATTTAGTCTTTGAAAAAATTCTAAATGTCCTCGATCAACAAAATCGATGAACATAGAAGCGGAAAATACAAATAGAATTACTTGGATTTCATACTATAATACAATAACCGTAATTCGTAGCCAATGTTAAATGAACAAACACGGAAGGAGCGTTTCAATCAATGTAGATAAACGACTCCGATCTTCTTTAAATGAATTTTATCATACTTTTTAACTCACCATCTCAAGAGTTCTGGCAATCGGGGTCGATCTTTTATCGTTTAATCGCCGAATTATAAAGGCATCTCGGTACTATTGTTATGAGAGTAAAACCATCAGCAAGGCTTCGTGCAGCTGCATTTTCACTTTAGATACCTACTTCTTTGAAGTCGACTTAAGTTAGTAGCTTGATTTTATCAGCAGCTGATGGATTCATTTTTGTTCTAACTCCATTTGAATAATCATTATCAAGATCATTTTTTACTTCATTGTTATCATCGGATACGTAGACATTTGTTGTTGCTCATTCAGATTTCCATTAGGAACATTCAAAATATGTTTGGAAGTAATTTAAAAAGTTGTAGGTATTGTTGTTTGGTTTATTAAATTGTTTTTGTTTATTTTTGCGATGCAAATCGAACATGAGTTAGATAACAAAATTAATATCGAACTGAGTAGGAATTTTATCTGTAATAATTAATGTTCTCAAAAGCACATTAAATCCACGATCAGCGAGCTTCAAGTAGATAACAATGGAATGCGATGGTCTGATAGTGCGATAAGAGATAACCGCTTAGTGGCAAGTTATATTGTTCCAAATTGAGCACGCAATGGGAAAAGAATTGTTTATGCTTAGAATAAGGGCAACTGATGAAATGTAGAAAGTCGAATACAAATAATACACTACTTTCTATGTGAAGATTGGATTTGATTTGTGGGCAGCTGTTATGTTAATGTATAATTATTTTTTGTAAAAAAATGGATATACTATGAATTTTTCTACCAGTTAGAATGGTTATTCTGTCTATTTTCAGAAAGTAAATAACTACATAATTTGTTTGATTGCCATTCATCACATATTATAATACATGTTGATATATAAGTCGCTTGATATATATTTACACAATTATTATGAAATATTTTTGTTGTTAATTGTTGTTTCTTTAAGCTGCTTTACGTTCACCCATTTGTAGGTTAATTTCGAGGTCATTTTAATCTTATGCGTCATGTTTAAGCCCTTTGCTACCTCAGCTTTTTTTTATTTTTTTTTAACAAGCTCGTTATTATATAAACATTATATAGTTATAACAATACAAGCATGCGGTTGTCTTAAATTAAATTGATATTAGTTTGTTATTTTGGCATAATGTATTGAACACAATACGGTATTTTATTAAAATTCATAATTTTATTGTCGTTATTAAAATTAGAATTTGTCTTATTTAAAATCGGCCTTGTGTTTTCAAACGATGATTACTTTTTATAATATTTATATAGTTGATGATATTATTTTCGCTTGTGTCGTGTCCTCCCTAGAAAAATCTTAATAAAAAATTTTTTTTTCAGAGAAAAAAAATATTATATGTTTTCTTTCAGTATCATCACATAGCAAGATGATACAATGGATTAATTTTAGATATTTTCTTTACAATTAATTGAATTATTAATATATTATCATCCGTATAATACGTATATAAAAGTATAAGACATACTTAATTTTCTATCTGTATCTGTATGAACAAGAATGCTTTATCGTGTGTAGTTATATATAGAAAAAAATCCGGATATGTTCTTAGATTACGGACCAACTTTACGGATACGAATCACGTACGAATTTGCACTCCGTGAGAAGTCTTTTATCGTTTATATCTATGTATTTGACATTGCCATGTAGTTGTACGTGACAGAGCTAATACCCTACATGTTGATAACCAAACTTATTCTGCATTAACCTCATTTACCACTGTAACTTGAAAATATGACGAAATGATAAAGTTATTATTATCTATACTAGTATTATAATGAGGTAAGATTTGATTATTTGTATTGGACAGGCTCCGAAACTTCTAGATAGATTTTAAATATTGTTTCACCAAACTACATTATACGCGGGTAAGATAGGCTATAATTTACTCGAGCTGCGGCGGGAACAGATAGTAGGGTACTTTAATGTATAAGCTATATATTTACTTTTTAATGATATAAAAATGTATCATTAAAAAGTAAATTATATTTTGCTGTGCTCTATTTAAAGGTCATAATGTTATGTTGCGAAAATTAACACGATTTGAACGCGATGTTTACTTACCCAAGTTCCTGGTATATTTTGCATGTATTAATATCGGAACCACAATATAGCTAGAATAGTAATATTCCATTGTAAAGAGCAGTTATATTCGCCATTTCTGGGTAATTAACTTTTTGGATGCTTCCGTTACTTCGACAACTTTGTGTATGGATTGAATCTAATACTTATTATAAAACTATAACTTAATGTTATTTAACTGTATAGTATATTAGTGGTGAGAAAATTTTGAAATCAATCCAGTGAAATTTAATAAACAATATGACAATCAATATATATATATATATATATATATATATATATATATATATATATATATATATATACTGATTAATAGAAAACGCACAGCAAAAACTACTAGGCGCAGAAATCTAAAATTTGCTACCAATGATCCTAGAGTAGTGTAGTCGAGTAAGAATTAGTGAAAAAGGGGTACTACTAAAAGTATAAGATAATATCTTTTCGAAACACCTTCAGTTTTAGAAGTTTAATTGATCTTAAACAGAATAATTTGTCAATTTCTAAAAATTCTATCTCTAAAGTATTCCAATACTTTAGAAATAGATCCTGACTTCCAAGTCAGAATAGGAAAATCTCGCAGATAGTTAACCTTTTAATATAATTAATGCAATGAAAAGCAGCTTAAATTGTAGTAGCTGAATCACTTATAAATGATTGCTAGGGGCATCAGATAACCTCAGCAGTTAATGATTGACGTCAATGCATTGATAAAGTGGACGATGCAAGTAAACAAAAAGATACATTGCATTGATTGATTGCGTACGTACCGTGTTAACCCTCGACCTGTTGTACGCAAATCCATCAATGGTAATCTTCCGTTAAGTATTTAGATTTCTTTACTAAAGTCATTATTATATTATCGTTTCCGTTGTTTAAGCCGATCTTATTTGTTTCATTGTTAACCCTCGACCTGTTGTACGCAAATCCATCAATGGTAATCTTCCGTCAAGTATTTAGATTTCTTTACTAAAGTCATTATTATATTATCGTTTCCGTTGTTTTAGCCGATCTTATTTGTTTCATTGTTAACCCTCGACCTGTTGTACGCAAATCCATCAATGGTAATCTTCCGTCAAGTATTTAGATTTCTTTACTAAAGTCATTATTATATTATCGTTTCCGTTGTTTAAGCCAATCTTATTTGTTTCATTGTTAACCCTCGACCTGTTGTACGCAAATCCATCAATGGTAATCTTCCGTTAAGTATTTAGATTTCTTTACTAAAGTCATTATTATATTATAGTTTCCGTTGATTAAGCCAATCTTATTTGTTTCATTGGGGGTCCTTAATTGGATAGAAAATTTTATAGGAGCGTGTTTTGATTTTTCAGTCGAACAAAGAGTTACTATCCAATTTTCGTGACAACCCATATGAAATACTAAAGAGTTCGTTCATCTAATCTTAGATAAAAAACTTATGTTGAAATTGAGACGTTAGCTCTCCTTGTCTGTACTTGAATATGTATTAATTAGAAATATAGTTTACTCGTTTCACCATACCAGTTAGAGTCTGCAACCAGTACTAAAAGTTCCTAGTAAAATGTCATCCGACAATCCTGTCTTTCCCATCTTTAACAGACTGACACTGCGTGATAGAGTATTTGTGGCTTCGAAATAGAAATGCAGAAATAAGCTTGAAAGTTTAATTTCAAAGCTTAGATTATAGGTAGGGCATAAGGTAATAAAAATTCTAATCAAAAGATACAAAAAATAAAAATGTTTGTTATAACATGTCAATTTTACGTATTTTACAAAGAGTAAATATAAGGAATAAATAATTTGTTTATTATAATAATTTAGATACATTTAAAAAAAAATTAAATAACCTAGGAAAAGAAGAGCGGTGTTGACGGTCGGTGCGATAGAACTACCGTTACAAGACTTGTCTGTGATAGAGCCTGAATTGGTCTAAATAGACAAAAAGTCCGTATTTAATAAGATTTATTATAAGCTTTTAGTGAAATCAAAATGACAATATTTATTCTTAATGAAAGCATTCAGTATAGCGTTGTGAATGCAAAATATAATAATTACAATGTCTATGTTAATCTTGTCACATCTACATTCACCCGGTATCCAAAAACCGTAAATGACGTTACGCGCCGTAAGGTATAAGATTCATTGCAAAAAACCGGAAAAGCTCCACATACCGAAGCATTTATATATCACTTTGTCTGTTTACGGTTATTTGAACGTGTAACTAACATCTGAATCATCACCGTTTAAACATTTACACTGGTAGACAAATAGGAGGACAACATTCTCTATTTCCACTATGATGATAAAAACATTAGGTATATTCGATTTATGATTCTTTTGAAGGGAAAATATTAATTGGTAAAACCAAACTTAGAACAGAAAAAATTCAGAAGGTGTCAGATTCATTCTTCAAAAGAATTTTTAACAGTAAGTATTTTAACGTTGGCGTCTATGTAATAACCTAACCAGC